GACAGATTTGAAGAAATCAACAACTTAAAGACACATCCACCACTTTAGGCTGTAGTGAAAACACTCTGTTTGGATTTTGTGTTCACTGTGCAATACATGGGATAAGGTTATTCATCAAACCAGTGATCAGTTAGTCAATATCAATACATTCTTATAATATTCAGCAAATTATTGTGGTGGCTTGGTCTTGAGAGGCATGTGATCTTTTTGTCCCTTTCTTTGAAATGTCTATTTTGCATTGTATATGATTAAGAACTCTTAAATTGTGAATTAGGGGAGACCAGGGATCGTAAATAAATAATATTAAACACTAGAATCAATCTTACCATAACTCTTCAGCTAAATTATTGTTTCTCCACCATAGACCGTATATAAAAAGTTCTCCACATGGTAGCCTATGTGAAGCAGGAGGGGAGACCGAGGATGGTTGTAACACGGGTCAGTTGAAACACATCCAATTTCTCCAATCAGGAACAAGTTACAAATCAAGTTACAAATCAAGTTTAGAAGGAAACAATTTATTTTACTTAATTTATTTTTGTTATTGCATTGCCTCTTTGTAGTTAAACTCAAAAACACAATAAAAAAATGTTTATTGTGTGTCTATGTAGATATCTTTCGTGGAAATTCTTAGTGCTAATGTTTTAGCTGTAAGGTAAGCTAGTTCGTGGCTACAGGAGTCTGGGTTAGTTGTAAAAGAAAGTGTAAGAAAATGTTGAGTTGTATTTATTTGTTCATTTTTTGAACTTCAGTATGTGACACAAACACATTAATGGTTCATTGTTTTCATATTATGTTAAAATGTAAAGGCCTACACTCCAGGATCTCATATGTCTGTCACCACTGTGACAAACAAACACATACACTAATATCACACACGCACACGCACACACACACACACACACCAGTTATGTTAAAAATGAATTGAAGTGTTGAAAAAAGAGCTTACAATATGATGTTTTTCTCATGTACCTTATTTTATAATGTTACATTTCACCCCAGTGTATGTTACAGCTGACCCAGACAATGGGGGGGAATTGTAACGTTTTACTCCTTGTTTGAGACTAAACCTTGCATTTCTGTCTGTGTTGCAGACATAACAGTTACACTATTTAACTGCAGACACATGTAACTAGTTTGTTTCACATTTTGAACGTACTGACTTAAAAGATCTCTGAGATACAGACAGAAATGTCAAAAAGGTTACAACCATAACCAATCTCCCGCTACTTTACTAAAGTAGTAAAGTAGAAGACTTTAGTAAAGTAGTAAATTAAAAAGACAGCCTTCGATGTTGTGGGTCTGATTAAAATAGTTAACATAGAGAGCTCCAAAATGCTGAGATGTTGTACATCATCAAATAACATCTCAGCCTCCAAAACAGCAATCGTTGATTATACTGCAGTGTCTCACCGTGTAATTATACAACTTTTGCAATTTATTTTCATTTAAGCAAAAGTCTACAAGTGTATCTGCCAGCCTCCTTACCTTGTCAAATGTGTTGATGTGTTCCTCAATGCTCTGCTCCATGAATCCGTTCATCCTGCGGATGTGCTGGACCATCTTCCTCAGAGATGGACTTGGAAAGTAGCGGAACACAGGGAAAAAATCTGCCAGGTTCCCGGCTGCAAAGATCCTCAGGACCTCATTGTTGATGTGAACAATCGTGAGGAATTCTTTGTCATTGTAGTCATACCTTTTCCCAAAACAGAGGGCACAGACAACATTTGCCACAGAGGTTACTAGGGGCATCACTGGATCGATACCTGTCATGTCCCCTTTAGCAGCAGCCTGTTCCCGAATCATCTCCACCATCTCAGCTGCCTCAGCACAGACATGCTCCTCCAGCAGGCAGGTGGCACCAGATCCTCTGGGCTCAGCCTGGGAGAATGACCTCAGGGCATTCTTACACAGCTTCTTATGATGCATCCAGGCCGGTCCATACTTCTCACTGAAGGTCATACTGGTCCCATTGGCTATAGCAGAAAAGGTGAATAGGTCAGGTCGCCCAGCAAAAGCTTCTCCCTGACGAACCAGCGCCTGTCTGATGGTGGTGTATCCACTCAGGACGACGACAGTTAAAGAGCCCAGACGCACCTGGAAGAATGAACAAATGACTGAATGAATAAGCCAAAACTAAATCCTCAGTCCATCTAAACATTTTCAACACATACAGTATATACCTTGAAAACGTCGCCATACTGGAGCCTCAAGCGAGTTAAAGAAAGGTGAATCTGGTCCCCGATCTGGAAAAGATTGCCGACAAGAGGCCACGGCGCAGGCCCAGGAGGTGGGGAAAAATTTGTGTGGTCCAATTGGGAGTAGTGGTGGTGGCTCTTTCGGCCCCTGAGGGCCATCAGGAGGAGGGAGAGGAGACACAGAGCAACAGTGACACTAGACAGAGAGGCACAAGGATTCTCCTTGATGGGCAGAGTCTCAAACTTCAGTTTCATATTGGCAGGTAAACTGCAAATCTAGAAGCCATAAAAAGTGAAAGTTAAAACTTGTCTGTAAGATGGAAACATTACATTACTATAAATCGAGACATTGATGCTCATAATTTAGAGGATTCAAGTAAGTAGTAGGCTACTAAAAGAAAAGAGAAAGGCAAAAAAGACAGAAAGGAATATGGCAAACAATGGTGATAGAAAACTCACCACGCAGTATACTCTGTAACTTTATAAAAAACAAAGTAGAGAGCTGGACCCGGATAACAGAGAGCAGAGCGGACACCACAATACTCAGCACACGGTCTGATGAGAGTAGCTCACAGTCCGGGATGTCCCTTTCAGCAGCAGCCAGGCCCCCTGCAGCAGAGGGAGCTGCTGCCCACTCACAATAGAGAGGCGCGCATGGCGAGAAACTTGGCTCACAGTGAAGTATGAGTTTGGTCCGGCCAACCAGTGACTGCATCGGCCCATTTAACCGCAGACCGGAACCAAGGGCCCCTCCTCTCCTTGTCCCTCGCAGAGTGTTTTAAAGGGCTCATATGTCATGGAATCTGTTTCAAAATATACAGGGATAGGAAAATACCAAGATAACCAACACTGTCCATGAGCACCCTGAAAATGTACCATGACCATCCAATTCATGTACAAAACAGTGTGGTACTTGTACTTTTGTTTAACAATGTCATTTCTTTAATGAGTCACAAGGGTGCGCTCTCTGTCTGCTCAAATTGACCTAATGTCACTTAGAGTTTGGACTGAGGTCATGCTCTCAGGCTGCTGTGGTTTGTCACTGATTTGCATCACCCAAATCGTCATACATGACATCACAAACACAATGCTTCAGGAAGAGTGGACAAAATAACAGGAACACCTTACAGTGTATTGCAATACAATACAATCTCGCATACAGGTTTACAGAAGTAAAAGCTGAATCCACACCTCTCTGACATGCACCATCAACAATAAATTATTAGGAAAAGCATGTGGATTTGCCCACTATTAAAATAACTGGAAAATCATCAACTAATAGTTTTATATCTGGCCGATTTTACTGTCCTTTCATTCTAGCAGATTTCATTTTTTATCTTTTGTAATACTTATCTTTTGGCCTAATTTACCAAAGCTCTTTAAGTTCTGTCCTTTTATTCTCTCCTCACTCTTTTTTCCCACCTTCTCCCTTGTGGCTTCATCCCACATTTTTTCTTCTTTTCGTCCATTTCCTCCTCTCCAATTCTCTCACTCTACATCTTTCATTCCTTTTTATTCTCTTTTCTTTCTCACTCTCCACCGAACCGTCAATTTAGCTCAAGCTCAACTGTGGGACACCCGGTGCTGTCAGGCCGAGCGACAGCTCCTTTGACCCGGTGGCCCATGTCCTCTCCAGGCCAAGGCGGTCCAGTCTTGTCATTAGCTCTGGCAGACAGAGCCGAGACACACACTGACTCTGTGGAGCCAGACTAGAAGGTGAAGTGTCTACATGAACATGTTACTTATTCAAGCATTAAAGCAAGACCAGGGTAATAGACCTAACACCCACACACACAATGCCACAAACATGAAATGAGCATGTTAGCATGCTCAACATGTGGCTAAACTAGCCAGACTGATGCTACTTCTGTAACACTGATACTGTATGTTTTGATCAAAAATGAATACCAGCTATAATTCCTCACAGAGGCACAACTTGTTTGCACAATACTGTTTTTTGAAGAATAATTTCTTAATGCTCCACTCACAATAGACTGTATGACTAAACCAGACCCACTGCCTTCAAGCTTCAAGTTAATAGAAATGAGCTATATACACATAAGTCTGAGAAGATGGTTTCCACAGTGTTTTGCAACTCTCTCCAACAGCAGTTCTGTTGCTCTTTCCATTGTTTAACAGTGGTTAATTACAGAGGTTGTGTTTCCAGACAGCCAAGACCAAAATAGGCGCACCAGACAAAGTTATGTGATCGCATTGTTCCTGGGAGACAGCAAAGCAGCAGGAGGCCCCTTATCAAAGCAAACATCTTCCCAATTATGTTTGTGGCCTTGTAGATGGGCCCTATCCTCTGCTGCATGTGGACAGGGCACAGTTGAGCCAAAGTGATGCATTTGTCACTACTACACCACTACTTCAAAGACTGAGAAGTCCAAATGTTTGGCCTTGCTCACAGCAGATTTCTGTATGCTTCAGCTGATATTAAAACGTTAATTTGGAATTTGTGTTTCATGGGGATAAAAGCAATTAATGAAGAGTAGGCCTATTTCAGAAACTTGAATAGCCTACATCAACCGAACGATGCAGGTACTAAGTTATTTTTTACTTATCTGACATCAACCAAACGATGCAGGTACTAAGTTATTTTTGACTTATCTGTATGTGTTTATAATATATTAAATGTATATAAAATATCAACGAAAACACTTCACCATTCTCTATAATGTAGGCTACTGTGCTTCATGGTCAAAGAAACTGAGAGGTGCGCGCGCCGGCCACGTGGGGTAATCTAGGATTGGTTCCGTATGAACGGTGATTAGCGCATGCAGCGGGACCCTCAGAGGACCAAGGAGAACTCCTGGTGAGAATACGTGATGCTGCTGATTTCTGTTTTGTAGCGCTGAGTGCGGCAGGTATATAAAGCTGCTCGACGGGTCTCCTGTCCACTGACGGGGAGAGGAGACAGGCGGCTGCAACATGCCAGTGACCGGAGAGCGAATCCACCAGACTGCAGGCACCTCATCGGTATCTTCAACAGGTAACACAACTTTTGGAGACTTCTGAATTTGACAAACATGTTCACATTATGTTTTTGTAGTGAAAATAGCAGACTAGATCATGTAAGATATTGGACCAAACTAAACATGGAGAAGCTGCATTGTGCATTACAGAGCTGGAACAAACTCCCAGAGGACAGTTAACCACCTTTAAATCCAGGTTTAAAAAGGTTAAAAACGTGTATGCTCTGCACAGCATTTTACTTCAATTCTCACCATGAATTACCCTTTAAAGGGCTTCTATTATTTTAATTAACGTTTTAATGGGTTTGTTTTCCTTCTATTATTCTTGTGTTTTTAATGCATTATAAGCATTTTGAATTACCTTTGTGTGTGAAATGTGCCATAACAATGAACTTGTTTTAAATCTCATTGATTTTGTTATTTGTTGCAGGTCTATGTGTAGTTAATTCAGTTATTTATACTGTCTTTATGTATTTTTCATTTTTTTCATATGTTTCATTTTAACAAAAAATATTAAAATATCAATTATGCTGCAGAAGTACCACAAAGAAAAGAAAGTGACTACAGCTAATTAAGCTTAAAGCTAAATATTTTGAATGGACCAGATGACAGGAAAACAAAACACGGCAAGTTAGTACATACTGTGATGTATTAATATTTACAATGTAGTGGTCTGTTCCTCCTTACATGCCCCTGCATGCAAGGTAGAATATTCTTAATCACCTCTTTTTCATCATGCAATCATTCATGTGTTCGCACAATAGAGCTCCTTTAAAATTAAATCTTTCTTGCAAATATGATGAAGCACACCTCTGGTAGTATTTTGCCTGCACCCTGCTGTTCTCCAGCTCTCTGTCCAAATGAGGTCAGTCCAGTCCACAGCTCAGAGCCAGCCCGACTTTATGGTGCCAGTCGTAACCCTTCACCCTGTGGTGTTACCCCGCTGGCAATGCCAGTACCTCATTTGGCACAGTTTCTCTCTGGCGGGTTAGGGTGGCAACTTATGCACAGGGTTTTGATTACACTTGAAAGGAGCTATTCTCACTCAGGGATCCAGATATTAACTTTCACAATCAAATATTCACACACACACACACATGCAGTAAAGTGTATGTGTAAGCACAATCCGCATGCACAAAAACAAGCTTGAGTGGGCATTTATCTTTTTCAGACGGAAAGCATACCCACATGAACTCCCAGCCCGACAACAGCCACCAGCAGCAGTCTGGTAACGGGTGCAACTACCGGGGTCCAAACCAGAGCCAAAAACCAAAGCATGTAGACGGACCTGAGACGCAGGCCCTGCCCATGCCAATTACAGACCCCCCAATTCAGTACACTAAGGTAGGCTGCACCCAACAGTCAAGAGTCAAAACAATCAGGTCAGAACCGAACATGAGGAATGATACACCACTGAGCTCCAGTTTGGTTCAGATTCCTTTGTTCCTAGAGGGCATTTTACAGAATGTCACATCATTTACTACTCATACACTCAGGATTTAGGGATTTTAGTAGAACATGCAACTCAACCGCGGTTGGCATTTTTGGTTTGGCTATCTCAGTTATTAGTATGGTACTGTTGCAGAAAAATCCACTGCAGAGAGATCATTGTTGGTGTTTACATCAGGAAGTCAAATTCAGATTGAACTTTGAGTCACAGATGGTTCGGATGGTTTTGATATTTTGCTTTCATCCTCATGTATTGTGTATCATGGGGGGCAATTTTCTAACTGTGTTGCTTTCTTTCAAGCAACACATCTGGTCTCTATTTCGGGCGTCTCAACCTGTTAAGAAGAGGTTCAGTTGCCCTTTAATATGGTATTGTGTATCAGTGATGTAGAAATTTAATATTTATGGATAATGTCTACAATGAAAATGAAAAACTTGGCTTGTAATTAGAGGAGAATGGAGGGTTTTTTATAAGATGAAACCAAATAATTCCTTGTCCTTTATCAGTGAGGGTACTGAAGAATGTAATTACCTGAAAATAAGCTTTAAAGCATTCAGATGCATCTCATAAAAAATATCAGAGCAGGAAAAATGACTCCCACTAAATACAGGACGCCTGTTTTATCAGGCTGAGAAGAGCTGATACACTGCGTCATGTGTTTAGGATGGTCTTTAAGGCAAAGAGCGGGGGAGATACCACTTTAAGAAAATAAATAACTTGAAGAATCTGTTGCGTTGAATCTTTTCTAATTCTCCTCTGGTATCTCAGTTGTTCATCAATAACGAGTGGTGTGAGTCCCGCAGCGGAAGAAAGATTCCCGTGCATGATCCCGCCACAGGGAAGCTGCTGTGTGAAGTGGAAGAGGCTGACTCCGTGAGTATATTATACATTACCAATAAATCACATGCTTTTTAGCTCTGCATTAGCAGGGATTCGAACATAGAGGTGGAGGAGTTATTTTGTGAGTATGTTTTTTATACAGAGTCTGTAGAGCTGTATCACCTGTGTTGCTCTTCCTGAAGTTTCTTCCACTTTCTTGAGGGGGGATTGTGGTTTCTTATCCAATTTGAGGGTCAAAGCAAAGGGGGCATCGATAAGTCCTTTGAGGCAGTTTTGTGATTTTTGATAACACGATAAATAAAATTTCTTTTGTTTTCTTTTGGACTTTTGTGACCATTTCCTCCACTTGACCTCCTTTAGGAAGATGTGGACAAAGCAGTGAGGAGTGCCAGAGCCGCCTTCCAGATTGGGTCACCATGGCGATCCATGGATGCTTCAGACCGAGGTCAACTACTCAATAAACTTGCAGACTTAGTGGAGAGAGACCGGCTACTACTGGCAGTGAGAAAAACATGCCCACACACACACAATAAATCCTCAGTTTGAATATTGCTTCACAAAATGTGGGTGTGCAGTAAAAGATCAGCTGATTTATTACCACGATGCAATGACACTTAGATACTAATTACTGTGTTTTTGTATTTCTAGACACTAGAAGCTCTGGACTCTGGCAAAGTGTTCCTTATGGCATATTTTGTAGATCTCATGGCCACAATCAAAACCTTGAGATATTATGGAGGCTGGGCAGACAAGATTCAAGGCAAAACCATCCCTGTAGGTGAGTGACCCTCTTGTCACTAACATTCTGATACCTCACAATTTTAAATCATAGATTTAGATTCTAGTTATAGCCATGATTTAAAATTGTGTTTTAACATAAACACTTAAAGCCAAAGTGTGTACAAAGCTATCACGAATGAACTATATATATTTTTTAGATGGAGACTATTTCACTTACACACGACATGAGCCCATCGGAGTGTGCGGCCAGATCATTCCTGTAAGTAGAAAAAAATGATTCTGTAGAAACACTAGCCAGACTGAATACACAACACCAACAAATGTTTACCTAATTCATTTATTTCTAAAGCGACTGTAGACACTGTAATGAGCAAGGCGGTAGTTTATGTGAGCATATCATTAAAACATTTACATATCTATCTAGAATATTTTCTTGTTTTAGGAAAAAAACTAAACTATTTCATTGAGTTTCATATACTGTATGTATGCATTAATCCAATGAGATTAAATCTGTAAAAATACTGTATTCTGTATATATGTGTCAATTTAACAACAGAGAAAAAAAAAAATATTGCTAAATATTTGAATTCAAGATATTCAATGACGTGTCCAGCTGTGTCACATCCTTGTCTTAGTAAATTTATCATCATATATGACTTCAAAGTGTAAAGCGTAACCAGAATATTTTGTGCACCTGTATGGTCCTGCTGTAAAGGAAAGACAGCAGATAGATATTCGTTATACTTACAGGAAACTTGGTAATTCTACAAAGTCCTCATGTTCTTGAATCTTTAACATGTTTATGCGTTTTGGTCCACAGTGGAACTTCCCTGTAATGATGTTTGCATGGAAAATTGCTCCTGCTCTCTGCTGTGGGAACACTGTAGTCATCAAACCTGCTGAACAGACCCCATTATCAGCCCTGCACATGGCTGCGCTCATCAAAGAGGTACTTGGATTATTACTGTTTCCCCCCAACAATGATATAAGAACAAAGAACACTTGGACAAAAGCCAAAAACACAGTTTTTACAACATAGAAAGACTGCTCTAAGATTATGTGTCAGTTAAAGATGAGCATGTGTAGGCCTACAGGCTGTTATTATATCTCTCCCTTGTCTCTCTGTGTTCAGGCTGGTTTTCCTCCAGGAGTGGTGAACGTAGTGCCAGGTTATGGTCAGACAGCAGGCTGTGCCATTTCCCACCACATGGACATCGACAAAGTAGCCTTCACCGGATCTACTGCGGTTAGTGGTATATTATTGAAAGGAAAAGAAAATTGAGCGTCTTGTTCCTTTTCTTCTCATCAAGTATTTTAATGCCCTTTGCTCCTATTTGTATCAACTCTTTCACTGTAATGTAACTGTGTTACTGGCTTACATTGTTGTCATTGGTTGCCAGGTTGGGAAACTCATCCAGAAGGCTGCAGGTGACAGCAATCTGAAAAGAGTTACACTAGAACTCGGTGGAAAAAACCCAAATATTGTCTTTGCTGACTGTGACTGTGAGTAGGCTTTATAGTTACTTTTTAATGGAAGGGTTCTTTTTGTATTCTTTGCACTGTTGATTAGGGCATGATGGGTGTGTAAAATTTAGTGGCATCTAGTGGTGAGGTTGCAAATTGCAACCAACAGTCTAGTCTACCAGTAACCCCTACCCTTTCAAATAGTGTAGATTAGCTACGGTGGCTGACACAGGAAAAAAGGTGTCGTCTTCTGAGACAGTACAGAGTAGCCAGTCAAGATATGAGGTTTCTTTAGGTAGATTAGAAAATAAAACCCCGTTTAATAGCTTCGCGTCTGGCCGAACAAAGCCCCTTAACTGTGATGTAAGCATGGAAAATGTAAGTCAAGAGTGTGCAACATGTCACTGTTTCTGCACCACAGTCCAATGTAAACCACATAATAGATAAAGTTTATACAAACATTGACAATGGAAACACATTACTTCTCTCTGTGATTATGGACCCTCAACAAAACTGCCCGCCAGGCACCTGCAATAATATCTGGTACTTTGATAGCAGTTGCTAAAATAGATCTTGGTCATGACAGCAACATTTAATCACTTCCTCTTTTGTGGTTTTGCCTGCAAAATATTTTTTTGCAGAAATGCTTTATTTGGAGTTGAATTGAAAGATTTTACTTTGAAAAATTCTGAACTACATTTAAAGAGTGTTGCCTGCTTTATACACCTCTGAAAGAGCTGTCAGAAAACGTAATTCCCCTAAATGTCCCTCTGCCTGGAGACACTAGGGAAATGAAAAAGCATCTGAAGGTTGATGCGGATCAAACACTGGAACACAGCACAGGTGACCATGTGACAGTTTCTGCATGATCAATTTGTTGAAGAGAGAAAAAAAAGACGTGGAATTGAACTCACAACCTTCTCAGTAAGAGTCCTGCACTTCAACAACTGAGCTAACTGAAGACCATGATAATCACTTTAAACATTATGCCTTAGATTCTCACCCAGGATCTTATGGATAAAAAATTTGCTCTGATGCAAAACTTATTTGCCGACCCCTGCTTTATATTACTACTACTTCTTCTTCTTCTTCTTCTTCAAACATATATATTGAGGATTCTGATGAGTGTCTACATTGCCAGAGTTCTACAAGAAGAAGAAGAAGAACGTAGTGACGAAACGCACTCTGTAGCGCTGTTTGTCCGTTTTGGATTACTGTAGAAACATGGCGGCCCAACATGGCTTATGCCTTATGTACTTTCTTTATACCCCACTGAAAACATAGTTAGATATTGTATTGTATGGATATTATACTGCATTTCTGTCAACAGATCCTCAGAAATATTACGCACTGGACCTTTAAAGGTGCAATGTGTAAGACATGGCCAAATTTTTAGTTTGCATTAAAAAAAAACATTCAAAAAGTGTACAAAATTATCAACAGAATGTGAAGAAGTAACACATTTGTCATTATGTCAAATACTTATGTGTGCTGTGTTGCAGAGATATCTAATGAAGTTAGCATGCTAACCAGCTAGCCCCAGTCCATCCCCTCTAGTAATGCCACTGTGTACCTCAAGAGGTGAAAGTCAATTAGTGTAGCTCAGGCTCTTCCCCACGTAGTTTCATCTGGGAGACTTGCTTGGATGTATAAAACCTCTTAAACCCTGCGGGGTCGCCCGCTTTAGCTGCTTCTAAGCTGCTTAGATCGTTAATCCAAATAAAAGTTTAAACATAATAATATCAGTATGGACATGCTACACATCGCTAGATCGGTTAGATTCTCCACAATTCAATAATTCAGTTCATTTAAGGGGAACAACAAGCCCCAAAGTCTAATTCTTTTAGCAAATAAAAGCCCAGGCTACTATTCAAAGTTTTACGGTAGCTATATGAATTCTGTAACTGTAAACTGTTTTTCACTTACAGAGCACAACCATGGCAGTTAGCAGCAGTTGTGATATAATGTGCTGTAGTTTGAATTCAACAGAGAGTACACATCATACCTTTAACATGATTAAAAAGGAAAATTTGAAAAATCAATTTACATAAAATACACAGAATAAAATTTACATAAAACAAACCTACAAGACTGTGGAGCGACCACCACGGCTCAAATATTATCAGCCAACAGTCATAAATGGAGTTATATAACTAAAGTTCAGGAACAGGACCACGCCTCTCTCTCACTAATTCGACCACCTGCGCCTCATTCAATTCCTCCAGTCAACCACCCGTGCATCATTCTTTTCATCCACCTGTGCCTCTCTAATCCAATCACATGCACTCACATATATAAGCCTGTCTAACCCCTTTTCACTCCCTTTCTCAGTTCTCACATCCCTCCCACCCAAACCCTGTTTTTTTCACCTCTTTTAACGCACGGTGGCTCAGTGGACAGCACTGCGACCTCACAACAAGAAGGGTCTAGGTTTAGACCTCGCTCAGCCCAGGCCTTTCCATGAGTGTTTGCGTGGGTTTCCCCGGGTGCTCCGGTTTCCTCCCACCATCAAACACATGCACACTAAAATCCATAATTCTGCCAAGTAATCATTTTGTCTTTTTCTACAACAGGAACCACGGGGGGGGTGTTCATAAGCAAGCTGCTTATCAAGACGAGCCCTCACCCTGAGTCTCGACCCCCCAGATTCCCAGCCGCTCCGGCCACCAAATCCTAAACAACCTCCTTCATCCCCCCATTCTCGACCCCTTCATCCCTCTCCCCTCGACCCTGCCATCATAAATACTCCTCATTATCCAAATAAACTACCCTTTTTATACCTCATATTTACGTGGACCTTGTTAGTGAAATTGCAGTGGTAGTGATGGAGCTCAAACAGGGACCACACTGTATCCCTCCTCTTACTTTCTGTCAGCAGTCTAGCTGCAGCACTTTAGACTTAAATGTGTGTGTGTGTGTGTGTGTGTGTGTGTGTGTGCAGTAGAGTATGCAGTGGAGCAGGCCCACAGTGGTCTGTTCTTTAACCAGGGCCAGTGCTGCCTGGCTGGATCCAGGGTGTTTGTAGAGGAACCGATATACGAGGAGTTTGTCCACCGCAGTGTAGAGAAGGCCAGATCCAGTGTCCTGGGAAACCCGTTGCTGCCGGGGGTAGACCAAGGACCACAGGTACAGAATACAGTTAGGCTACTTTCCATATTTGACAGTGGTTGTATTGTCTGATAGGTCGACAGAACACAAACTTACCTACAGAATCAAACCAAAAGAATCTCCACTTCCACTTTCTGCAGATTGACCAAAAGCAGTTTGATAAGATCATGGATCTGATAGAGAGCGGAAAGAGAGAGGGAGCCACACTGGAGTGTGGGGGATCCGTGTGGGGTCAGCAGGGACTTTTCATCCAACCCACTGTCTTCTCAAATGTCACAGACGATATGCGCATCGCCAAAGAAGAGGTGCTGTGTACACATGACAAATACATGGATCATCTGTCTCCTCATTTTACTACCTGTGTTATGAGTTTCCTCCTCATGTAACCTTTTCATCATTGTCTCCACATTTACCTCCTTCTCAGATTTTTGGTCCAGTGCAGCAGATCATGCGTTTCAGTAGCATCCATGAAGTCATCCAGAGAGCCAACGCCACACACTACGGCCTGGCAGCGGGAGTGTTTACTAATGACATCGACAAAGCCCTAACAGTCTCTTCTGCTCTGCAGGCTGGAATGGTCTGGTAGGGATCACACCCTCTAATATTCATCTTTCAGTCCAGGGTTGAGCAGTAAATCTGAAGTGTCTGCTGTGCAAATTCTCACAGAAACTTTCCTCCTTTAGTAATTTTTACATTGCCACATAGTAATGTCTTTTGTAAAATGACTGGTGAACAACCTGTGATTTTATGTAACAAGGTTAGATTCCCTAATTTGTCTTTTTTTTAGGGTGAACTGCTACAATGCCATGAGTGCTCAGTGTCCCTTTGGTGGTTTCAAGATGTCTGGGAATGGGAGGGAACTGTGAGTGATACTATCGCATATTATCTCAGGTTTAGCATGGTGGTTACTCAGAGGTGTAGGTTTGGTTTCAGAGGTGACATGGGCCCAATAAAAATGTTTTTGACATAACATTTCCATTGTCAACAATGGACCTCTAAACTCAATAAATAATGTTTTATTTCTATCTTTACTATAAACAGCTCTGTCCAGTTCTAGCATTTTAGGAGAATTAGTTGTAAATTACATTTTTTACCTGCAAACTCAGAGGAGTTGGAGAGACTTTTTTAAGTCCTGAGTAGTGTCTGCAGGCTTCCTCACAAGCTGCATATAGCCTCCACCAAGAAAGAAGGGCAGCTTGATTGTTGCTTAACAGACAAAATCTGTGGCAAAAAGTCCTTAAGAACTCTCTTCCGCTTGTAAAGCTTAGTGCCATGAGCACACGGTTAATCACTGTAGCCACATTTTGATCAACTCAGAGCTTCTTACATTTTGGATTTTGGTGGGTTGACATTCAGAGGAAATTTTTTAGAGGCGTTTAAGTGAATGAACCAAACAGAAACTATAAAAGTAGGATTTTGAGAATCCACACTCCCCATTCCACAATGGAAATTACACCTTTGCTGCTACTACATGCATTTATTCAGGTCCACCACACAGCTATATATGGGTTGGTACTTTTAACATTGCAACTTGACTGGTAAATGTTGCTCATTTAATGTGAGGAAACTTCTATCCTTATATAATCAGTGGTGTTTTTTTATTTCAGGGGGGAATATGCTCTCCAGGAGTACACTGAGGTCAAGGCAGTCACCATCAAACTGTCACGGAAGAACTCATAATACCGTCATATCCCAGGACCCTCCCACTGTTCATGCCTTCAGATCCTTGCCTCTACATTTTACAACAATCAGATGTATGTTTTGAATGCATTGTCGATTCTGTGTCACTACAGGAACATTCATTTCTGACAAGATAATTCTAAAATATTTCTATTTTATTGACTTAAATGTTGTGTCTCTTTCTGCAACAATGCAGACTTTCATTTATCTATGTTCTTCCGGTGTACTATCTCAGATGTGTATAACATTTTAGTGGATGTTCTCGATAGTAGTGTCTGTTATGTGTTAGTTTAAGAGAACCTGTTTTTGCTCAGATGTACCTACTTAAATAGCACTTTGCCAGAAAACAATTATTTCAATAGGTGTCAAAAGATGAAACTAAAATTAGAAAGTCATTTTACATACTATATACAGGGATTTCCGAATGAAATCAATAAAAGTCTTGACCAACATTGATAACCAGTAAACTTTTCACTGATTGCAATGTAGATAACATGATCACACCCACTCCATCTGTATTACAAGAAGTTACAGCAATGTGTTGTTGTTTTTTACATTTTTTGTAGTAATACTAGTAATACAGATACAACTGTCATGTCTGTGTCCATTTACTTTACACAAAGTCCCAATTTATTTTCACCTTCAAACTAAGTGAGCACATTATGGGATTTGACTGTGGAGGCTTTAGTGTACCATTGCAATAATTATAGACTTTCCGTGGTTATTTATACTTGATCAATTAATTGGCATGTTTTAAAGACCGGTAATAATGCTTTTCATTGAGGCAAGAAATAACTTGATAAATTCATTTAAAATTATCATTTTTTTTATTCTAATTATTCTTATTTTCATAAAAGGGCAGAATAAGTCAATCAATTACATCTAAAGAATTAAAACAAATGTATTATTATAGTGGCACCCTCCATGTACAGTATGACTATGACTGCAATGGTCACTGGTTGTTTGTGGTGAATTGTAATTAGGTCCTTGAATCATGACTCTTTATTGCCTTGGAGGCCCACCCCGACCTCTTCCTCTTCCAGGCCCAGGGTGAGGCCCCCTGGCATTTCCAGGAGGCCCTCTTCGTGGCCCTGGGGCATGGGTGACTGGCGCTCTGGGGTTTGGGGCAGCCAGGGACACATCTTTTTGCAGATTAACCCCTTTTGCTGCTGCACCTGGCTTCGTTTTGGGAGACTTCTCAATTACGACATCTGAGAATGCAGATGGAGAGCAAAAGCAGGGGTAAACTCAGCTGGGTGCAAATTGGCTGACAGCATGTACAATAAAGGAATGTGTATGTGTGTGTGTGTGTGCGTGTGTGTGTGCGTGTGTGTGTGTACCGGGCGGGGGCTCTTCCTCGGAGGGAGGCGGTATTAGAGACTTGTTTGGCAGCAGGTCCTCCAAGTCTTTCATCACTTGATTAGTGCTGTCCTTGTTGTTCCTGCGGTTCTTCTCCTCGTCTCGAGCCTAAAGTTTCCACCAAAAAACCAGACAGTCATTTGTATGATTGGATCTTGAACAAAGAAGATTTTGACAATAAGAGGGAAACAAGGGGAAGAAAACTTACACATCACAAGAAAACACTCATACTGACCATTTGCATCTTCTTTTTAAGGCCATTATTTGCTTCTTGGTATCCTTTTGACACTGCATTCAGGTAGTAGATGGCCAACCTGTTATAAAGTATAAGTCTACTAGGTGAAAGCCAACCAGTACAAGAGCATAAACCACATCCAGAGTTTGGACACAAGGCAGTAGACACTAAGGTCAGGCCCTCCAAGTTGTATGACTTTACTTTTTTAATTGCACACTGCTTCACAGATGGCTTTATTAACATTATTATAAATATGCAGTTAAAAAAATACACACATGTGAAAGTGTCTAAACAACCACAAAACTGTCCAGATTTTCTTGTGTAGTCAAATTTTTCAGGGACATTGTGAAAGTAGAAATAAGGTTATTTCAACACCTGTTTACGTTTCCCTTCCTCTCCAGTACATAGTTTGGCATTTCACCTCTGCATTTGCGAACTTTTAGCAGATAATACACTGTATTTTAACTGACGTTTAAATGATACGTACACCATGAGGAGGACAGCAGGCATGATGACTCCAGGGTTGGTGGCATATGAAAAAATATTCCCTATGAAGGCTGGTAGATCCTGGTCTATAGTCTCCATGACCACATCGTATATCTTCTCCTGGCCACTAGGGGAAAAACATGGACTGAATACAGTAAACTGTTTGTTGTCCCTAATCTTTGGATAAAAAGTGACCACCAAATTGAAAATGTAAGTTTTAATATTAGTTTAAGCATAAATGTTGAAAATTAGCTCTACAGTAACTTTTTAAAGCTATTCCTAAAATTACAGTTTACTATTGTAAGTGGTCTCTTAAAAATGTATTGGAATAAAATTTAACTGCCTGTGAGTAAAATGAATTTGACACCTTACAATGACCCAGTAGCCTAGTAATTCATGAAATGTTTGTCCTGTTGAAGTTTTAGTGAACAAGTCCATAACAGATAAACTGATGGCTTACTGGAGATGTCTGGATCTGTGCAAATGTGTTGTTAACAAGACTAAGATCCTGCTGTTTATGGTAAGCGGTACCATGAATGTCTGTACAAAGTTTCATGACAATCCGTCCAATAGTTGTTAACAACGACTGACTGACAGCCATAAAGCTGTGCTAAAAACAACTCTAAAAACAACTATTGCATTTAGATATATTGCCTCTATCTGGTTTTCTTAAGATCCATTGAGTTTATTATATGACTAAAATAGTTTTAACCTGCCAAAGAACTCATCATTAACTGTCACAACAATCTAACTTTGTCCAATTAATTTATATTTAACCACCAAATAGTAAACAATCTCTTACTGGTGGTGTTGGAGAGAAGTCTCCCCCTGTTCACTCTGAAGTGCTTTGGGTGTCCAATAATGAAGGGCTATATAAATGTAATCCATCATCTTTATTATTATTATTACTAACCTGAATGGCCCACAGTCAAACGACGGGGACATGGTCATGATGGTGTAAACAACAGGCAGCAAGCTGAGGAACAGCACAAGCAGCAACAGGCCCATGTAGAAGTTGTTAGACCGTGAGGCCTTGAAAACTCGCTCGTGAGGAACGTTGCAGCACATCACTGCCCAGCACTGGAAGTACATCGAGACCAGGAGACGCAAAACGTTCACACCCACCAGACCTGGAGCATAAAAGGCTCCCATCCTGAGGAAAACAGCAAGCAGCATCATTATTTAATTACATGCGACATCATTTCAAAAGTACTGTACCAACAGCCAGCTTTGAATCAATCTAATTAAATTTAATAGTATTTCTAATTAGTCACACAATGTAACTACTGGGTGGGTTACTTTTGCAACAATTCTGCTCCAAACAAATATCTAATTTGAAAAGGCTGGCATCCCACACTCACTATTCTGATAATTATAGGGACATTGGAGACTGACAACAAAGAAATGAGCTGTTTCTTTGCAGCATTAGTCCCATCATGGAGCCCTACATGACACAGAAGGAGACAGAGAATAAAATCAACCATGCAGGAGTATGTGGAGTAATTCACCATATCATTCCTTGATTGAAGATAAGCCCCAGCACGTTTTCACTGATTTCAAATTCTGCATAAGAAGGCTGGAATCAACACAACAACATGATTAGGATGCTCACCCGGATGCTCACCCGAATGAATACAAAACAAGTCAATACACTTTGCACTTGCTCCTCTCTCTCTCTCTCTCTCTCTGTTTCTCCCTCTCTCTATATACATATCTCTATATCTATCTATCTCCCTCTCTTTCTCTGTAATTAAGTTCTCTTTGCAGACTCCTGTTTCACTGAAGTTAAGAAGTTAAGGGATCGGCTGTCTTACCATATGTCATTGTATGGTGTCAAGTTGACTCGGATCCAATACGAACTGTGCTGTACTCACACAGTGTTAAATATAAGCTGAATGACATAGTAGCTACTGCGTACTATGCTGACATCACTCATTACACAAGAGGCACAAATGTCATGCTTTATATTTGTATAATGTTTTCCTTGATATGGAAAAACAAAATACAATCAATTACTTAATTTTACAAAAAAACATAATGAACGCACACACAAACACTGTGACCCACTGACACACAGCACTCACAAATCCAGCTTCCAGGTCCCAACACCAGCAGTAGTTTAGGAAGCGGACAACAAAAGCTCGCATAAAGTCACCAAGCAGGATGGTCAAATAGGTCACCTGCGTGTCCGACACGGTCAGCTTCACAAATTCCTACACAGCGAAAGAAGCCAACAAGGGAAGAATCAGAAGAAATAAGAAAAAATACAAACCAAACCAACAAAATCAGAGATTTGGTTACTTCAAGTTGATTAAGTTGAGTAAGCAGGGTAAAGCAGAGGAATGATGCAAACAGAGTTACACCACTCTAGCTGTGATTACTGTAGCTACCACTGAATGCATCTGTATCTGCACCAACAATTTATCATCCACCACTGGACAACAGTAAACAGTATAATGCCACAACTGACTATTCCCACTCCCGTCTCCCAGCAGGGTCCTCTGATGACGTCGGCTGGGTGGATTTCCAGAGGAGGCACGTTCGTCGTGTTGTAGTGGGAGCTGTAGTTGGCATAGTACTGATTCAAAGTCCATTCAGTTTCATTCTTGATTACCTTCTCGGTGTCCAGCTAAAAAAATGAAAATACATCAAAGCATACAAGCAAGTCAAACTTTAGTTATGTAAACCAATTAACACACAGGGAAATGTCCAGTAGTTTGTAGCCTGGATTTTAAGGAATTGTTCTACGTAGGGAAATGCTATTCACTTTCTGGTTTCAGAATTGGATGAGAAGATCGATACCATATCTGTCCTTTAAATATGCTTAACTTAGCCCAAAGACTGGAAACAGAGAGAAACAGCCAGCCTGGCTCTGTCCAAAGGTTAAAAAAACCTACCAATCAGCAAGAAATAGTCAGGCACACAACAATTCGTAAAACAGCAAAAATAATACATGTTATTTATTTAACTCCTCCTGATTTTGCTTCAGAAGCTTAGCTAACCAGCTGCTGGCTATAATGTTGAAACAGAAGGAAACAGCTACTGACTATAGCCTTATATGTATCAGACATATATGAGAGTGGTATTGATCTTCTCATCTAATACTCCACCTGCAAGCAAATAAGCTTATTTCCCAATATGACAAACTTTCGCTTTAAAAGTTATGTACATTTAGACAATGTCCTCAGACCTTCTGAAAGCTGAAAGTGTAGATGCTGTCACACAATATTTAGTTTAACTGAAGGTTAATACAGTATTTTAAAAGCATAATAGAGATGTACTTTTATATCAAGGAGAATTATTTCTATACCATACGAGAAGTCATAGCAAATGCAGCAAAGGTCTTGCAACTCTCAGTGAATGTCCTTACCATGGA